AAATGTGAAACAGACAAGTGACCCAGTGACTTAGTAATGATTTGCAGCTCTAAGGGCGGCGGTTTCAAATCCCGGACGGAACAAGTATTTGTATGGCATACAAATAATTGTTCTGGATCTGTTCTATGTATGTAAACTGTCCCTGCGATACAGGAGAAAATCCTAGTGTGGAGGTAACGTTTTTGAAAAAAGAGGAAGAGAGACAACTAATGAAATTAAAAATTTTGTAAAACCTACTTCAATATTAATACGCATTATTAAGGATAACTCCAAAAACTACCAGTCAGATCTTGATCAAATTTATTTGGGATGTATAAATTATCACCCGCTTTCAAATAAAAATAGAATCATCAAATCAAAGACTTTCACGTTGTTGTAATCTTAATTTTTCTCGATGTTGCATATTATCCTTCTTCACAATGAAGAATATTTTTTTATTATCAGCAAATAGGCTCTGTAGTGCAGTGGCTTAGCAAAAAGTTTGAATCCTGCATCGAACAAGTATTTGTATGGCCTATAAATAATTGTTCCAGATCTAAATGTTTGTCCTTGTGGAAAAATCCTATAGTGGGAGTAACGTTTTTTTAAACATATTAGAAAAATACTAATACATTGCATATCACCTCGGTGCATTCTACTATATACTAAGTACTAACTAATTTCAAAGGATTCAAATTGTTTTCTCAAAACACCTAACACTAGAGTAGGGGCGGACTTAACAAAGGCGCGTAACGGACTAAGTGATACAGACACTCGCGCGCAGACGTAAGGTGCTATTTGATTTAATACGCGCGTCGCATAAATTTTTGTTTGGACGTAGGCTAATTTTACGAAGGTCGCTTCCGACGCGTGCAAAGTTTTATGAACATTAGCTACGTTGTAACGTTGTTTGCTATCAGGGAGTGATCCTTCTATTCGCGTAGTGTTTCTATATAGTTTGTGCTTCTATTCTTGTACTATTATTATTCTGTGGCTGTGAGTACAACCATCAACCACAGATTATTAATTGTGGTCCGATCTAAGCAGAACGAACTTACAGCATCTTGAAGTCGTTTGCAGTGGTATTCTTAGGTTTGGATTTTTTTTAATTATAGGCTCCCAAACAGATTATAGCACCCATCCATCTTCTCTCATGAAAGCGAGGATTTGTGGTCTATCAAATCTGATTTACTAGCGGTGACGATCTTGAACATGTTTACAGACTTCCTACAGCGTCAGTGCAAGGCCGTGAGCATATCCTTGGAATGAATCGGTATCTTTTTGCGAGGATTTGTGGTCTATCAAATCTGACGTGATAGCGGGGACGATCTTTAACATGTTCGCAGACTACAGACTTCCCGGAGCGTCATTGCAAGGCCAGGAGAATACCACTGCACTGACTTTAAGATACTACAAACTCATTCTGCGTAGATTGGGCTAAACATTAATATTCAAAAACTGAAGGTAGCAAGGATAGCTATGACATTGGGAGGTCCATCATCCCAGTCAATCGGGGATCAAAATGTTAAGTCACAATACCAACGGCCATATTTAAAAATGTCAAAATAAAAAAATAAAAAAAATCCGTGCAATTAGTTTCATTTAAATAATATAAAAAAATCGTGCAATGCACTATAAAACTTTTAGAGAGACACACCTATGCAGCAACTTGTAATCTATAATATCATTTCCAAAAACTCTCAGCAAGATTAGCACTAACGCACCGGGAACTTACGATATTAGAGCGAAAGATATATAAATTATTGATATATACTAAGATTCCGGATGTAATTGCTCACTATCAATAAGACTCTAAAACATGATAAGTATCTAAAAGCGCTCAAAATGGTAAAAGTAAGGCCCATAGCCACTTATTATTCTATAGTAATCGTTTTTAACACACAATGAACTTTTGGTGGAAAGGTACATAATATAAATAAAGCCATATCATCAATGTTCACTTATGTATATTCACATGGTTTAGTACTATATGCTTTAACAATACAGACGTTACAAAAACAGAAATTTAATTGTAACAGTTATTTGATTACATTATATATTTACGAGGCCCTAATAACCTCAAGGGTTTTGGAACAAGATTTGTAGTCTAGAATTGTTTCGGGTGCGGACGCTACAATGAGCTTGGAGCACTTGGTATAGCTGTAGCAGAGGCAGGTGCTGGAAGTATCTCTATGTCATCTGAATCCTTCTCAATGCCTATATTGAGAAAGATTCAGGTGGCTTGACACGGTCAATAATTACTTCCACGGTACATGTACCCATATCGAAGGTTATAGTCTTATCTTGCCTTGCGACCACTTGGTAAGGACCAGTGGAAGGTAGTAAAGACCAGTAAAAGAGGTTGTATACTGTCGTCTCTAAAGAGAACATAAATCGCGGTATTTAAGGTTCTAGACCGAAAGACCTTAGGTAGTGGGTGGTACGCAGTTGTAATTCCATGCCATTCTGTAACTTGGTCACGTAATCTGCCACGTCTTCAGTACTAAGTACGGCAAGGTGATGATGACGAAGCCAAAAGTTAACCAGGAAGGTGAAGTGATTTGTCATATACAAATTCGACCAAGGAAGTTCCTAAATCGTCTTTTAATATAAAGTGCTTCGATGGTGATAATATAAATCACGGGCTTTTTTGTCTACTTGGAGGTTTCGAGATATTATGGTCATCAATAGTCCTCTTAATTAAGCTGTTGTCAAAATCTCCCAGGGATTTCTCAATGCATCAGTACATTGTAATTTAGACTTACTTATAGAGGAACGTAGTGTGCAAGTGAGAAGAAAATTCTTTATGGCAATGTAGCAAAATAGAAAAGGATAGCAAATCTCATGACTGTAACCGTTTTTGAGTGACAGGTCGGCACAAGTCGGTACGCAAGAAATAAGTTCCTAAACATTATGTAATATTTTAGAGTATAGTACTATTATTTTTTATAGGATAAGGGTGACAAGCGAACACAGTCTACCGTGAGGACTAAGATGGAATACCTCGTTTCCAATAAAAAAGGGTCTCCGGTTCTTTAAACTCACCATACGAAACACAGCAGCGTCATGCTGCTATATTACGCTGGTATTCTGTGAGACCGTGGTCCTTCCTCGGTCGAGCCGACACATTCCTGCTAGAACTATACCAGTAATATAGCTGCAGCATGGCTCTACCACGTATAAATTATTGGGATTTTGTACATTTTGAATAAAAATCGAACAAAATGCAGGTAGGTGCTACTTATTCTTGGGAACATGTTTATGAATATTTTTTAATTATTTTAGAATATGATGTGCTGCTTATTATCAACTCAACCGTCCACGGTGACTACAGTCCCCAAAAAAATTATTGCGTCACCTGTTCATGGTGACTATAGTCACCAAATGACATCTTTCGGTTTAAGCACGTATAGCGCAAAGTTAGCTGTTATTAATACAGTAAAAAAATTATAGATGGTGCTATTTGAAATTTATCATCTGTGAGAGTGAATTTATTTGTATAATAGTAACCAAATATTTAGAAAAAAAAGTAAAAATTTAATTTCGCCATTTTTGTTCGTGGACTGATAAAGTGTGAGAAATTCAATCAAAAATGTGATAACTTTTCTGTTTCTGTACGTTATATCCAATGTTATTGTACATAAAACTAATTGTGAAGATATTTTCTTTAGGAAATATGTATCATTACGACAATTTCAAAACGTTTACATATATTAATTTAACTCGAAATTTTAATCACTATACGCGATCATCGTTTGTTGATTGTATGTTGTTTAAAATTTATTTTAATCAGTTTTTTGTGTTGAATGAATGATAAATATAAAAGAATGACTCACTATTAACACGTTGATAGCCATTTATAAACGAAATACCTGTTGAGATGTGCCTTAAAACTTATATTTATTCATTTATTTACTTATTTATTCAAATTTATATTGGGTAAACATTATATACTTATGTATATTGAGTATATCAGATATTATTGATATTAGTGTCATTTTAAAGGGAATATCATGTACTATTATAATATAAAATAATTGTCTCAAGTAAGTATTATGCTTTTCTTGTAAAACTCGAAATAAAAAATTAATACGATTTTTTTTGATATTCCTATTTTAAGCTTTATTTTCAGCCTTTACATTTATTTGACTTACTTTCTTTTAACACATTTTCTTTTGAGTCTTTTGAGAATATTTTTTATTTGAATGTAGCTATAGTAGTTTTTCGGTAGTAATCGATTTTGTTGAGACAGTCTCGCACGTTGTAACAAAATAGTGACATTTAATGCGCGGACAGGTGAGGCGAGAATCACTAGCGCGGCGTGGACGGTTAAGTGTTTATTGGGAACATGTTTATGAATATTTTTAATTATTTTAGAATATCCTGTTAAAAATTCCGTTAATTTTTGAAGTTATTCAGTTTCGGGGACTAAACTATTTTTTAAATATTTTACCGCTTTTTTAACTATTATTTGTCGATAGTCTTTGTAAGTATAATGTACATTACTAGCTAATGCACATATTAACAAATCAAAATTTGTCACGCGTTTTCACGCTGTCTAGTCGCATATTTTATACACCATATTAGTAAGTATAAAGTAGTAAGTAATAAGTTTTAGGGAAAAAAATAAAAATTAGATAAGGCTGTATGATCTAAAAGTTTTGCCTATTACAATTGGCGAATCACGGCCGTAGATAGAGCATTGACATGTCTATGATCACGGCGAATCATAATAACAACAACAACAACTTTATGAGGGCTATGACAATATGATGATATTGACATATTACAATTGACAACGACAACATCAACAAAAGAGTATTTTATAGTTATTTTATCTTACAATTGGTGATTTTGGAGTTTGGGGTTTAAATTTGAATTGATTGACCTTAGTGTATCGATAAACTAAAATCTGAATTAGTCATTTTTTTGAATTGTGAAAATTTCTTGCGATGATTACAGAACAGAACACTATTACTGCTAGGTTATGTTATTAAAGTTATTAAGTATATGCTTTTAAAATGGATTTCTTCACAAAGTTCTTATGGAGATGGGAAGACATGTGTGGACCGGACGGCTTTCAGCCTTGGGTGGACGATAGAAAAGATTTCGGAAAGTGCTTTCAGGAACTTTGTTTACAAATACCTATGTTCTTTATTTTAGCTATCATATCAGGATATTATGTTGGTTATAGAAGAGATTGGGTAATACGTGAAAAAATACAGGAACAAGCCATTATTTTGCGTAGTTTTGTGGTTTTAGCACTAATGTTCATACCAATTGTAAAATTATATATATTCATAACAAACTCAAAGTTTAATCTGTTTCCTATTGATTACTTCACTGCTGGTGCAGGTTGTTTATCATGGTTGGTGCATTTTGGATATATCTTAGCCCTAAAACACAGACTGGGTTTAAGTTGCCGTGGGCCTACAGCTCTGCTATTCTTGTGGTTTATAATAGTAGTGCTCAATTTTATTTCTCTTCGCACAAGCATCATTACTGGAGCCATCACTGGTTTCAATATTGCAACACTATGCTGCCACATTATATACTTTTTGACTCTTTTACCATCAAGTAATTCTAGACCAACATTTTACTCATCACATCTTGTCGGCTCCCAACATTCAACTGTAAGTAGAAAAATAATAGTAATAAGATTTATAAAACTATAAAATTTATAAAAATAAAATATAAAATTTTTAGAGTGAATACACACCACTACTCCCCCATATGGATGAAGACATTTTGGGTACTGCAATGCAAGGATCACACTGGTTTTCTAACCTTACCTTCTTATGGATAAATCCACTTCTAGAAAAAGGTAACTAAACAAAGTAGTATTAAAATATGAGAGGTTATTTGATAAATTTGTAATTTTTTAACACTACTTATTTATTGATTAATAATAACTTACTTACTTATCTTCACGCACAATCCCTGACGGGGTAGCCAGAGAGAACAGATCGCCAAGTGTCACGATCCTTACATACCTCTTTCGCTTCTTTCAGATTCATTATCTTCTTCATACATGCACGTCTAGGTATCCGAGTACTGTTGACCCTACCCTCTTCGAGCAATTTGCTCACATGGTCTTCGAAAGTTAGTCTCGGTCTACCTCGACACCTTTTAATATTAACTTTCGCGCTATATATTTTCTTCACCATTCGGTCTTCACTCATTCGCTCAACGTGCCCAAACCACCGAAGCACGCCCTTATCAATTTTTGTGATAAGGTCATCTTTCAAACCTGCCATAATGCGAATCTCTTCGTTTCGCTTTCGGTCGGCCATGGTGACGCCGCACATTTTACGAAGAGATCGCATCTCCACTGCATTCAACTTACTTTTATGCTTCTTCTGGCATACCCAGGTTTCGCTGCCATATAACAAAGTCGGTACCAACACTGTGTTATGTATTGCAAGGCGTGCACTCTTCACTACGCCTTGCCGTTTGACTAACGCAGTCAGGGCACCGTTGACTTTGTTCCCGGCAGCGACACGCCTGTCCACATCTAAATCACATCTTCCATCCCGGCTAAAAGCACTCCCCAAGTATACAATTTCATTTACTTGTTCTAGACATTCCTGATTTACCCATATTTCACACTTCGTTCTCTCTTCGTCCCTTTCAAATACCAGAACCTTAGTTTTATTAGCGTTCAAACGGAGACCTTTAATTTCACATTGCTCTTTCATACACGTGACTAATGCCTGCAGTTCTGCCTCTGATTGTGCAATAAGCACTGCATCATCAGCATACAGCAGACAATTTACTTTTATGTCACCCAATTTCACACCCAAACAGCTATCTTTCAGCTTAATAATAATATTTTTTAAAACCAAAACACTAGAATCTTCCTCTTGCTACAAAAAATTATCAAGTGCATGTTTAATATCTTCAATTACAGTAGTATGTAATTTGTGCTTTAAGGCCCAAAAAATGTTAATGACTTGAAAAAAGATCTGGAGAATATGAAAGGAAAGCATTCATTTTTATCTTACCAGCAACAAAACAGGATCTTTAGTCTACAGTCTAGTTTTGTGTAAAGTGGGAGCTTATCTCTTTGGAAATCTTATTTGGCTGATGTTAGGTTTTTTTTATAGAATGAACATGACAAATGAGCATATTATCTACCTGATGGTAAGTGGGTTCTGTAGCCCATAGACATCTACACCTATTATCCTACTTACCAGTAAAAAGGGTCCCCAGTTCTCTACACTCCGATATGAAACACAGCAGCTGAGCTAAGCTAATCTGTTATTTTACTCTGGTGTTCTGTGAGATTGTGGTTCCAAAGAGTATATACTCTATATATATCATATAACTATATGAGGTGGAAAATATATGTATGAAAAGAGTACCAAGCTGTCCTACCAACATCAAGACATGATATTTAACTTTTGACAAACAATGCTGCTTACATAAGTGAATTATTAATAATGTTGTAATTATCTGACTGAATAATTTTGTTGATATAAGTATTGATATTTTTATGTAATAAAAGTTATAGAGTGAATTTTGCAAAAAAAAAACATTATTAAAGCTCATATTATTACACGGGGATTTAGTAAAATTGCTAGTCAGGATAATATAAGCCAATGTATTTTATATGCAGCAATTTGTTATAAACATATAATTATTACGTACAAAAATATTAATAATAAACAAAAAATCCACAAATATATTATTAATTAATCAGGTACATATCAGTTTATAATCCCCAGTAAAATAAATGATGACTCCGTACAGCATTGGCTAAGCATTTGGCTGCAGCACTGCAGGACCGCAGGATTGGTCCCACATAGAACAGGTGTTTCTATGCCCCAAAATAAATTAATGGAGATATTCTGAAAGAAAGAGATCAGAGAAATACAGCTATTTAGTAAGCTGGATAGAAATAGCTATCATTAAAACTAGTACCCATAACATACATTTATTTTTACTATAGTTTAGTTTAGTTTACGACGGGCTATTTTCCACAACTCCATGTCTAATCGCGTATTTTGCGTCTGGACAGGAATATTGTGATTACTTGAGCCATAAAATCTCCCCGAATAAGTTCAGCAGACCTTTGATGTTGTGAGCAAATTTGAGGAGTGATCCCTGCATGCTGAGATGTTTAGTCCTATATGTAACGACCTCCGGACATGCCAGCAACACGTGGACTGCGTTTCCTCTTCCCCTATACATGACCTGCACAGGGGACATCTGAACACCTATAGTAAATAAATGTTTGTTAAAGGAGCCATGGCCTGTAATAGCATTTATTGCTATCCTGAACTGTGGCTTATTCAATCTCATTAATACCTTGGTTATACGACTATTTATTTCGGGCAGGGCCTTCCTAGCTTGTCTACAATCCACTAGATTTTTCCAAAGCTGAGCGTGTTGATTACTAAAGTTTTTATGTACCAGTGAACGAATGTTACTAAAAGGGATCGGTATAATCGGTTCCGGTCCTATAACGGCCATAGCTGATCCTCTCCTAGCCAGTTTAACGGTTGCGCCATTGCCCCTGGATCCACTGTGACCCTTGATCTATTGCAGAGCCACATTGTTGTGTTTACATACCTCATTTAATCGTTGATGGCATTCATATATTAGTTCCGAGTTCACCATATTGTAACTCAGAGCTTGTAAGTACTGCCATACTCTCAGTCAATATTCTGATAGAGTCCAGTCTTTTACCTTCCTAGCATCTATTGCTATGACTGCTTAGATGATACGCATACATTCTAATTAATAGAATCAGGCGTTACTTTGCGGAAATCCGTTATATATATATATATATATATATATATATATATATATATATATATATATAGATATAGACTCTACGGTGGCTAACCGCTAAGTAGCGGTTAGCCACCGTAGAGTCTATATCACCTGAGGATGCCTCGTGTAGAGGCGAAACACGTGTCGTATTATCGTCAGTGGTGTGTCTTGCCTAGTATAGTGGTGTTGGGAGTAGCGGTGCTGGAATTAGTGGTGACGGGGATAGTGCACGCAATTGAGGGAGGGCGGGAGGTGCTTCTTCATACTAGGTAAGACACATCATTTTATTTTATACGCGGATATTTGCGAAGTAAATTTTTGTAAAAGCTTTTGCATACATTCTGACTGAAAGACTGTGTTGTGGGTACCCAGTGGTGTACATATGTAGATATTGAGGTCTTCCGAGAAATTTTTTTTTTTTTAGAACCATCAGTGAAAACTCTAAGCTCTTTTGAGTTTAATCCCTCCAGCTGGTGGGTTTTACTTAATTATATATTATATTTCTTATCTAACACAAATTGTTTGGGGATCTTATCATACTTGGCTTGTAAGATAGGAATTTTTGAGTAAATTCAATCAATTAAACCTGTATGAGTGATTCTACTCTTACTCTAAAGATTTAGGGTCCTGAGTAAAAGCTAAAGTAGCTTCTTGTTGTATGTGTAGGTGAAGCGGGGTTAGCTCCAGCATAGCCTCAAGGCTGCTATTTGTGTAGTCCTTATGCAGCCTGTGGCAGCCATACATGCCAGTCTCTGGCAACGCTGAAGCTTCTCTATGACGCCCATTACACGCCTAGGCAAGCGTCAATCAGTTCGATTAATCAGGATTAACGTTTGCATGATAAAATAATTTCGATATTACACGCTCATGCTGACTGATGTCAGTCAAACCCAAATTTTCGGAGAGAAAGGACCTACCTTTAAACTAAGTTCATTTTCGATTCACCATTTAACTGTAATTTAATATCTTGAAAAGAAAAATAAAAAAAACGAATAGGAAAAATTGTAATATTTTACGAATTGATCATAACTTCCTATACTATAAAATAAGTTATGTTCTAATTAATGGTATTTATTCCAGTTTATGACAGCCCTGATTTATATTTCGTGGATGAAATTAGGTACTTCTTATTATGTACGTCAAACCAAATAACAGCCGGGTGGCTGACATTAAGCACTCCACACATTTCGTATATCTAATTACACCCCCATTAATTTCCACTAAAATAAAATAAAAAACTCATAGATTTAAACAAAAATAGCTGCATTACTATTTCTATAGTTACATTCATACAAATCAAAAAGCCTAAAGATGAGCTAATGTAAAATATGCTTAATTGTATCGGGACAATAACTTGCCAAAAATTAGGAAAATGAGCGTATTTCGTTGTGTACGTGTTTTGATTTTTTATTTAACACTGTTAGGCTTAAAACTGTGAGGTAATATTTGAAATATACTTTCCTCTAGTTACAAAGAATTTTTTAGCCGACAATATTTGTACTCGTAGTTAAGACTACTAGAAATCTTATTTACGAAGTAAAAAGGCGGTAAGGCTGGAATTAGGGGTGTGGCTGCTATTCATCCACCCTACTGGTTTTTCGTGTCCCACAACTCGGGGAGAGCCTCAAAATTTAAAATAAAAATCTTTTTCTGGCTGAAGCACCTTTGGCGGGAGTGACGACGGGCTGAGCGAGCGCGTGGAAGCCGCTTCTTCAATATATTCTGCGTCCGCCTCCATTGCTGTCTAAGCGTTGACTGATGCGTGATTGACGAAATGCCATTACACGTTCAATCAAAATTCGTGACTGATAGTTGATTGACGTAAAAATCAAAATATCCAGATATTTATCAATCAAATTCATGCAACCGTCAATCACCGCATTACACGGTAGGTTATTCGTCAATCACAACCGTGATTGTTGTAAAACTGACAGCAAAACCTACCGTGTAATGGGTGTCTATAGTGGTGGCTTCATTTGTTTTGGTTCACCATACCATAGCTCCGTATGTGATCGTGGGCCGAATTAGTTTTGTACAGTCACAGTA